AATTAGGCCCAACTGCAGACCTATTCTTTAACTTAACTAGCAACCTAAAGTCGTAATCACCGTAAAAAATGAGTAAATCCAATATGTCAACATCACTAATTCGAATTTTCTATCAATGGTTCCCAATTTTCAAATGTCAATATCAGCGTAATCCCTTTGACGTGATGCAATTTATGGCGCTGTCTCAACTCAACAACGGCGTTTACATCGCATTCAAAACTTATGGTTGGAACCACATCCATTATCGATACAAGTTCCGAAATGAGGTCGAGCAGCAAAGAGTCTCGTTGACCTAGTACCAAAAGTGGCTGAGATGAAACAATTATTAAGAACCAGTTTTCTTTAAGAATATTAAAGAGTAAAGACAAATGTCAGACACGTAACAGCATAACATTATTCACATTTTTTGCTTATAGTGAATTTGCGAACATCCATTCTATTTCAAATAATAAAGAGCTTATCTTAAAAGTAATTTGGTCGTGCGGTCGCTGACGTTTAAGTTCGACACTTCATTACCATGTCGTTTCCTTATGGTGGGACATCGTCACTTACGATTCGCTAGGTAATGACATTTTTTAGCACTCTAACTTTCAAGAAAACCAGTGCCCCACTGCATTAAAATTGCTTCCTCTTAATAACATTAATTATGGTTAAATTATCTCTTAAGTTTTCATAAGTCATATTAGAAATTATTCAATTTAACTATGAACTTTTATTAAGCATTAATTCATAAAAAACACTTTCTTCTCTGACGTTAATTACTCTCAAACTTCCCGTTGCTAATGATAAGTACTTACATATAAGTATCATGCTCAGTTACACTTTTAGTAACGAAGATTGAAACATATTTTTGATCTCATTGTTTTGCTCTGTTTGCTTCATAACTGTTGTACATAGAGTAGCGCATCTGGTAAGCACAGTATGTTTACATCGGCAATAGATTTGAAACTTTATTTTAAATTGTTAAAGGTTATAAATAAATGAAACAAATATTCTTATAAACCGATGTGTTGTTGATTTGCTAAAGTCAATTGGTCAACTTTGAGATAATTTGATTGTAAAATTGTGAAATGTATGAAACGAATGAACTAACGGCTGATATATCAGATGGATTTATTTGCTACAGTTACAGAAAAAAGGGTCTACATAAACTGACAATAATAAAACAACAAATTAAATATCAGTAAAACCTTTTTAAAGACATAATGGCAGTGTAAATAATTTTATTTCTGTTCTCAGACCCAAAAATAAATGTGCTGTACCAATATTTGTGCAAAGAATTTTCATTTCGTTAAATGCAATGCAATGTTTGGTATATTTAATTATTGTGAGAAATACGTCAATCATAATTCTTTAGCTTACTTATTGATGCCTTTCATTATATGAATACTCACAAAATGCATTTAATAGATGTCCGTGTAAATGAACAATGGAACGTCTTTATTAGGAAGTAAAATCGTAAAAACGTTAAATTATAAAATATATCGCAAGATTGTTAGCTATCGAAAATTGTGTGATTTGTAACATACTGCTGTGACGATTTGATACATTGTAATCTGTCGAAGTCAAACGGTCAGATTGCATTGTCAGACCTTGTGACCTTATATAACAAAGGACCTAGAATTAAACCTTGTAGAAGCCGTTTTTTTACGTTAAGGGAAGTTCTTTAATTATATAGTTATCCGCTGTTAACTATTAACTAACCGTTCCATTTTATGAATAGTGAAAAAAAAACATTTTAGTAATTTACCTTCGAAATATGTTCGATGTTTTCAAACGCATGGTGAAAAACTTTAAGCATTCATATAAGTTCCCATGCTTGTTTAACACATAATGGCTACCGATTATTTTCGGTTGTATTGTATATTGTAATAAAGCACTAATCATGCGAATTTATGTAAATTTTATAATAGTTATCGTTAGCGGGCGTAAGTTTTAAGCACCATCATTTGTCAGTATGTTGTTTAATTATCTAACTCTAATAGAAAAATAAAATAAAAACTCCAACGCGTAGATTTGTTCATATGATGGTGTTGAACAGGCTCTTAAAACTAGTTTTTAAGATTGGTTTCAGCACTGATTCGAAGAAAGCTCGTGTTAAACGAAATAATTGAATGTTTTGTAAAAACCCTGTTTTTTAAATAATAACCAAATGATCTTTCGGGACTAGCCTATCTTAGGTTAACCTTCTGTGAGTCAATTCTATGAAGGAACGCGCTCTGTTTTTTCAATATGGGTACTGAGACTACAATCGTCTTCAGCTAAATGTTTTAAATCAGAATAATGTTAACATTTATTTATTTTTATATTTTGGATAAAGCAAAAAATTAACATGTTTTATATACATTCTGTGAGATAAATTGGCTTATTTTTTATATAAAAATTGACTTACCTTAATTAAAACACTTCAATGGTAGAAGACTATCCATTCAATTTGAAATTTAAATAAAAAAGGATGGAGTGATAGTTGCTCAAAAATTGAAACAAATAAAGAAAAATATGTTATTAGACCGCCAACGCCATCTATCGACGTGTAATCATTACGTAATAGTCACGTTGAACCTTAAATAAAACGTTATTGGTTTTTTCTTTTCAATTTTATCACATTAATCTAATAAATTAATAAACATTGAAAAAGATTTTCCTCTTTTTCTTCATTTTATTTCATAGAAATTTCGTTTTACAAATGAAATGAAAGTTGCTATGCTAAGATACGAAGTTACGAGTGTTGAAAGTGACAGTGCTTAGTTTATCAATACTGTATATAGACAAGACAATTATCACTACTAGACCTGCCGTGTGAGAAACTTATTACGGACAAAAATTATTTGCCACAAAATAGATGACATATTGTACACCACAGATCTACGTTGTGGTCAAAGAGCAGTAAATCCGCATGAGTGAAACTACGTTCAGATGCAATGATATTCAATTAAGGTAGTAACTTTGTATTGCAACAAGTGAAAGTCAATTGCGTACGAAGAAATTTCATTGCCCATTTGTACTAGTTTGCATGCACAATTGATAACAAAAGATTTATCAAACAAAAGTTTGATTTGCATCAAAACTTTCGCAATTATCTAAATAAAATATTTTTCTTTCTAAATCATTAATATCTATAATGTTAAAGAATGTTTATAAGAAATTCTCATAATTTAATTAAACTAAACACAATTCATAATTTTTCCCTTCACTTCGACATTAAAAGTTTTTTTATGAGTTATTTCGTCTGGTAACGGTATCAAGGACGAGGTCGTTGCCCGATCACATCGCTTCTACTGCTCACCGCTAGATGGTGCTACACATTTCTGAATCGCGGTATCGTTATGTTCGTTTGCTTTGTACAAGGTCTGTAACAGAATTTGGTGGGGTTGCCATCAGGAGGGTCTTAACTGACTCGACTGAACAGCGAGTGATGAACTCGGATATGAATCTCTGTGATTCCGCTCCGCTCGCTTTCAGGTCACTATCGCAGACCTGTTAGTGAAATAGCTGACGCTGTTTTTGGCCCTTTATAAAGTAAAATAAAACGCATCTTAAAGTATCAAGCCATTATTGGGGCAGCCAAGCGCGTTCCATAGATCGTTACATTCGCTAAAATATTATACAATATTTATGCCTTTGAGTTGTACTGCTGTTAGTGTTAGTTAACCTTATTTACGCTGCTAATTAAATTAGAACCATTCACGATCACAACTATAAATAAACATACGTTATCACGAATTTAGTGTTGTTTATTTTTTATGATAAAAAATAAATATAGATTGAAAAATAAATCCACAATATATGTCTCCTCTATTTATCTAATCCAGCTGTTTTAAATAATAAATTACATAGTTTCAGTTGCTTAATTATGTTGTGTATTTTTTTAGTACATCTCTAATTCTCTATATTTTATTAAAAATATCGTGTTTAATGCCGATCAATTGATTGTCATATTTTATGTAACTTACATATCAGCGGTCGTATTCTTGAGAAGTTAAATTATTTTACCTGTAAATAGAAAATATATATTTTTAAATCAAGCATTGTTAGATTCCTACAAATAATGAGGTCTTAATTATTACAATATACGAAGTAAAAAGATTGTACCTCTATCTTAAAAAAATATGTGCGAACAGACTTATCTAAAATTATCCACAGTCAAAAGTTTATATGAAAAAGTGCAGAATTTTGTAATGTTTTGAAAAATATATATATACACATTTACACTCATTTTCACTTAGCTATAACAAGACTATCCTATAACTAGGAAAGCTTATATTACGAATCACCCAAGAAGATTAGTTTAATTCAAAATAAATAATATTTCTTTTATCTCTTGACATATTTATGACCTATAAACGCAAGGTATTGCATAACGAATATCATAACTTTATTCAATGCTTAATTTCATTAGATGGTGCCCTGTCAATGGTGAAATACATCTAAGGCGATCCCTAAATATTTAAGCGGCAGATTTGGACGACTCCTAAGTTTAGTGAAAACGGGCATTATATTTTTTTCTTTATTTTTGTGGTTAAAGTGAGAAGAGATTAATATTATTTGTCTATAAGCATAGTATATAATACTTTACTAATCAAAAAATTAACAATGACACCAAAAATTGTTGCTATTGTCTCTACCAATAAATATACATTCATTTGGTTCCATCCAATTTCAGTATGTCTATAAAATTGCTATTCGTTCTGAATGAATCTTGCAGTCACATTATGTTTATTAATCTCATTTCCATTTACTGCTCGTCTTAAAACGATTTATGAATTTCATTTATAAAATCATTACAATGGCTTGCATTTGATTTGTAAACGTCCGAATAATTTCTTATTTCCTGTATCAAACAAGCGACTGCAATATTTTTAATGTCATATGATACTGTAATAATTTTCTATTATATCAAAACTTAATAATTAGCAGTTAAGTATATGAGGGCAATTTAAAACATATACTCTTTTACGTTTTCAGAAAATTGGCAAGAGAGCGGTGCCGCGCTTCACATCATGGGTCAAGAGCAATCATACCCGGGACACACTAGCGTCTCTCAAGTAGCCCGCTACAAGGACAAGTACGGGCCACAGTATACCAGTGGTCCCCTGTACAGTCCCGGTGAATACGACAACGATTACAAACGACACAAGCCCAGACGCAGCGGCGGCAGCTTCAAAAGCGACAATTCTTCAACAGAAAGCAGCGGATACCGAAGCGGTTCCAGCACTTACGAAAGCCACTCAAACAGATCATCTAAAAACGATTACTACTGCACTTCACTATACAAAAACGACCACTACAAAGACGTTAACAAGGAGCTTTATAGACCTGTTAAAATAAAAGAGAAAAAGCATTTACAGCTACTGTCTCTCGAGAAGGACGAATTTAAAAGTGCCCGTTTAAAAAGTTATCTCGACGAAGCAGAAAAGGCTAAACACACATCCCCTTCGCAAAAGAAGGCCGGTATAAGGAATTACACTCCGAAGATTTTGTCTGAGGAGGAGCAGCGGAAAAAAGTCGATAACTGGATATAAGAGAGGTCAAGACTAGTAGCGTAGGTTGTAAATATTAGTTTAGCAGTAGATGTGTGTGAAGCGTGAAGATGGAGGCGGCAGGGGCGCTCGCTAGCTTGGCACCATCACCCATCACAGTGCTTGGTCTGATACCACTCCTAGCACTAGGAATTACGTATTTCAGATATCAGCAATATGATCCGGAATCGTATATATCGGATGTCAACGTTGTAAGTTGTTTACATTACATTTATTCCTTTACTTTTATATTTGCATTGCTGATAGGTAGTTATATTGTGTTTAATAATATCAATAGGGATAAAGATTAATCATTTTTGTTTGTTAGTCCGTCAGGTAGATTGTTGAAAAATATTAAACACGTATTTTTTATTTTTCTGGTAATCATTACATTACGGCGATACATTGAGGTAAAATTGTCACATGACGTTACGCTTTTGTACATATTCTACAATACTGTGTCGTAGCAAGCCCCCACTCCTCAACTTTAATGCCTGTTATCCAAGCTACTTATATATACTTGAACTATGCAGGTTTGTTCGAAAATACCCAAATTTCTATACCAAGCGAGATAATACCATAATTAAACCTCTTAGATCCAGAAATAAACTAATATTACCACCTTCTAAAATGAAACATCATTCTTCAAGCCCATTAATCATGTCAATAAAAATTTATAACAAGTTGTCAAATGTATATAAAGAAATTAAAGATGACAAAAAATTTATTGAAAATTTAAAACAATTACTCATTAAAAAAGCTATTATAATATATCGGAATAACAAAAAAGAAAAAGAAAATATAAAATGTAAATTTTAATAAATATGATACATTTTTTATATAGAGAAGTAATTAATATACATTTAGAATGAATGAATGAAAATTTATAATTATATATTATTTATTTTTTTATAAATTACAATAATAAAAACTAATGCTCCTCCTTTCTATTATTGTTGTGTCCGACAGGGTCCATAGTGACTAGGTAACTTAATTATGTAACATTATTTTAAATTACCTAAGAAACAATAACAATAACTTATTGAGTATTGAAAAAAGCTATTTCTTGATAAATTGAAGTAGAAAAAAATTAGTATCTAATATTTTTCTATTATCTGACTGACGGACTAAATAGGGATGGGAGGGATGACGACTGGGCAAAAAAAAAATTTTTTTGCCCAGTCGTCATCCCTATTAATAAATCAACAATGAAACTACTTTGAACGCATTTGATATTTCATTCCTATGAAATCACCTTGAACAAAAAGTGAAATGAAAACATAAACATAAATATCAGAAAAACATATTTGATAGATGTTTAAAATTAATTCCCCTATAATAACTAAAGTACAAAAAGAGTTTGTGTAGTATTTTATAACTATCAAGGTGTATTTATCAAGAAAACCCTGTTTATATTAAACATGATGAAAGTTTTAAAATATATTTCCCAAAACAGTCAAATAGATAATTAACGCAGGCGAAGTCGCGCGAAAACCGCTGTTATTTTATTATAGACAGCTTCAAGTAAAGTAGATTGACAAACCAAGCGAATGCGAGAACATGTACCAGCTTGTTTTTATTTTATTTATTTTTTATTACACGTGTGCTGCGCTCGGTCCTGTCTTCAACCACAGGAAAAGGTTCTCCTTTAAGAAAGGCGTTACGACTTGAATATCAGTAGTTGTGGACTACTTTTAAGAAGCTATATTGTCGTATACGAGATAAAGTCACACTAGAACACTAAGTGGCGTTCATTTTTAATCGTCCATCTAAGTTCTACCAACGTAAAGTGAAATATTGAACTTTATCAGTTTCTCGCGAATGCAAAACGGATAAATTAAGCAAGCAATGGCATCGGTTAAAATTACAATAGTAATCTGAAAAAGTAAATTGCTAAATTAAATATAATGTCGTAAGTAGCTGTTTTGACTAATCATAAGATAAGATAAGATAAGATTGACCACGATCAAAACTCTTAAATAGTTAATTTAAAATAAGTATTGCTCACGAAAATGTAAGATACATTCTGAATTAGATAGTTATGCTCTCACTTTATATGACGTTAGATACTATAAATTATAATGTATTAACGCAGTTTTTATTTATTATTGACAAATCTGTTTGTAAAGGTATTGCCATTTCTTCAGATTAAAATTCAATTTACAAGAAAGGGATACTATACAAACAACACAAACTTTTATGAAATTGATCTATTTTTATCTTTACTCTAGATTCCTTAAAGCGATGAATGAATTTAATTTTTAAAGTTTACTTTTATTTATTTCCAGATTCTTCCAATCTACGACTTCGTGGTAGTGGGCGGCGGGTCAGCTGGTGCGGTAGTAGCTTCCCGGCTCTCGGAGGTCGGTAACTGGACAGTGCTGCTACTAGAAGCTGGCTACGATGAGAACGAGATATCCGATATCCCAGCGCTGGCTGGCTACACGCAGCTCTCCGAAATGGACTGGCACTACCAAACCACACCTTCCAACAATCGCTCTTATTGCCTCGCCATGAACGCAGACCGTTGCAATTGGCCAAGAGGCAAAGTACTTGGTGGATGCAGTGTCCTCAACGCTATGGTTTACGTTAGAGGCAACCGTAACGACTACGATCTCTGGGAGGCTTTGGGTAATCCAGGTTGGGGATATGATCAAGTGCTACCTTACTTCTTAAAATCCGAGGATAACAGGAATCCATATTTAGTGAACACACCGTACCATAACGCTGGTGGTTTCTTAACTGTACAAGAAGCGCCATGGCGAACACCACTGTCAATAGCTTTCCTCAAAGCCGGAATGGAACTAGGTTATGAAAATCGCGATATAAATGGTGCTAAACAGACCGGTTTTATGTTGACCCAGGCGACTATGCGACGCGGTAGCCGGTGCAGTACGGCCAAGGCCTTCCTTCGTCCAATTCGCCAAAGAGAAAACCTTCATATTGCTTTAGGCGCTCATGTGACAAGAATCTTAATTAATCAAGTTAAAAAGCAAGCGTATGGAGTGGAGTTTGTTCACAAAGGACAAAGACATAAAGTGCGTATAAAGAGAGAAGTAATAATGTCAGCAGGAGCTTTGGACACCCCTAAATTAATGATGCTGAGTGGCATCGGCCCAGCTAACCATTTAAAAGAGCATGGCATACCCGTGGTGGCCAACCTTAAAGTAGGTCACAACTTGCAAGATCACGTAGGCTTGGGTGGTCTCACTTTTCTAGTAAACAAACCTGTTACATTCAAAAAGGATCGTTTTCAAACATTTTCAGTTGCAATGAACTACATTTTATACGAGAAAGGTCCCATGACCACACAGGGAATAGAAGGTCTCGCCTTTGTAAACACTAAATACGCACCACCATCGGGCAACTGGCCTGATATACAGTTTCATTTCGCTCCCAGTTCAATCAATTCCGACGGAGGGGAACATATTCGGAAAATACTAAATCTACGAGATCGTGTTTATAATACAGTATACAAGCCAATAGAAAGTTCTGAAACATGGTCCATATTGCCTCTCTTGTTACGTCCAAAAAGTTCTGGATGGGTAAAACTAAAAAGTCGGAATCCATTCCACCAGCCTTTAATCGAGCCAAATTACTTCGCTTATAAAGAAGACATTAAAGTACTCACTGAAGGGATAAAAATAGCAATGGCCATTTCCAATACTACGGCCTTCCAGAGATACGGTTCAAAACCTCACAATATACCTTTACCAGGGTGCCAGCATCTACCGCTTTTCAGCGACGAATATTGGGAATGCTGTCTCAAGCAATTCACATTTACTATTTACCATCCCACGGGCACATGTAAAATGGGACCAAAGAACGACCCAGAGGCTGTTGTAGACCCAAGACTGCGAGTTCACGGCGTTGCTAACTTGAGAGTCGTAGATGCGAGTATCATGCCAACAATTATAAGTGGTAATCCTAATGCTCCTGTCATTATGATAGGTGAAAAGGCGTCCGATATGATTAAAGAAGATTGGCTTGTATTATGACAGTGTTTCGTTTTAATTTTCCAATCGTTATATTGATATGTGACCTTGGTTTATTCCAAACATTTGGAAAATTTTCAAGGCGATGAATTCGTTATGTGAGAAGAAACTTTATATACAAAGTGAGAATATAAAAACGGTGATAGTGTACGTTCCTCGTTGTGTATTGTCAAATCAGTGTTTTAGGTAAATGGACAAATAGCACTAGGAATAATAAATTATAGTAAAAACTTTTAAATCTGATTCTTCGCTTTATGCTATCATTCAGAAGCGTATTGACTGTTTTCATATCTGTGTAATGACAAACTTTTGAAATATTTTTATTGTACTTGTAATAAGTTTGTATATACTGTGAACATTGTACTGTAATCTAATTATATTATTTAGTGTTATAAGTACCGAGTCGTAGTCTTTATTATTTTATGTAATTAATTCGTCAATTGCTACACTGTACAAGAGCGGTAATTCATTTTGTATTTTGATAATTTGTAAAAAAGGTTGGAAGTGTCTGATCACATCTAATTTTTAATAAAAATAGTGATTCGATATTTTCTTTGTTTTTCTTATTTTGCTTATATTAGTAGTAATACTTATTATAATGTCATAAATAATTTAAATGTATGGTTTAGTTATTTATGGAGACATATCACCTACCAAATATATTAGAGATAAAATCTAATACTCATTACTCTTTAAAAAAACTTAACGTGAATAACCAAATAAATAGGTATACCCGTTAAAAACAGAATCTCCTCGAACTCCTTCGCAGCCTAGTAGGTTAATGATCAAGCTTGGAAGCTTTGAAGAAGATATAAGATATAGCTGTTTTATTGCATTGTAGCTTATTTCCTTTATATCTAAATATATAGCAACTAAATATATACATTCCTAACTGTTGCAGTTCAATAAAATGAAAGAAACTGGCTTTAAAAAAAAACAAGAATAGCTAAATTGACACGACGACATAAATTCATTTTCGAAACTAAATTCACACGTAAAAAACATCAGACAGAAAATCAATCGTAGTGATATCTAGTTCAATTTCGAAAATACAATTAATTAGATACTTCTTTTTAATAATAATACTTTCTCATAATACCTAGTATCTAGAATTAAGTATTATTGTGAAAATAAAGTGTATATGATGCGTAAACACGAAATGTTATTTTATCACATTCATTGTCAAGCGACAATCAGCGCCATCTTGTATGAAAAACTGAATATACAATGTAAGAGCTTTGTATGCCTTGTGTTAGCATACTGCGGGGCCATGCGCGGCCGCGTTTTCCTTTAGTTTGACTTCTCATTACTAGATGGCTCGCCTTTATCAAAACCCGTACAAAAATTACTAAAATCGCATTCGGTAATCATATTGAACAAACTACTAAATTCTTTCTTATAAATAATGTTCAGAAAAAGGTTAACTTTATCACGTAATATAAAAAAATGTGTCTGAAATCATAAAACGGCTTAATAGATACATATAACTAATGAACAACACCATGAACAACTAGACAATTTATTTTATTTTATTTAGCTTTTTTAATGATATATTTGAATTTAGAAAATAGAAATAATAAAGCAAAATATGCGATTGTTTATTTCAACATCTCGTGTAAGTAAGTAATTTTTTCGTTGGAGATACAAAAAATACAAATGGTTGGGTGTAATGCAATGCATGAAATGTGATTATTTGTGTATTGTGTTGCGCGATAGTCATAACTTGTGGTATTTTAAGGCTTCCTTATACTACCTTACTTTTATTACTCATGTCAACACGTCAGTAAAGTTCATGTCGGTTCTTATCCCATACATTACGTAGCATAAGTAGGTTAACAAACTACGCTTTCAACGCACCAATATACATGTCACTTGTTACTTCAATTAGTGACAGATTGCCAGGATGTAGCTTAGAAATTGACATTGGCCAAGGCTTCAGTTTTGCTAATTTTTATCTAATAAGCGCATCTCAATTACTGGCACTTTGCTATTGTACTGTCTACCTGAAATCTAATATTATTAGATCAATATTTTTTTCACAAATCAATGCTGACAGATACATTTATTATTTTGTGAATGAGTAACAAGAACTGTGTCATAAGCTCTCATAAATGTTGTAGTTGAATCGCTATTGACTTTCCATAATTACACTACTATTAGCATAATTGCCCTAAAGGGCAAAAAAGTACGGGTTTAATAAAAGTAGGTAGACTGATAGGTATATAAAGTTTTTTATATGTAAGGATATGACCTGTTATTGTTACTTTTACTCCCAAACTTTCGCGAATCAGTAAAATTTAATAGTAACATATATAATTTATTTTAGCAACATGTGTTACATTCTACTTTTTACTTCGATTACGAAAAATAAGTTGCGATATCAATTAAATGTGATTATAGAAAATTCCAGAGCTGTCGCTCCAACGCTTTTTCTTAAATCTTATCCAAGAGTATTTTACTTTGTAGAAAAACTTTTCTGTTTGCTCATTGGCATAAGAGACATAAAAAAATATTTTAGTTTTCAAAATGTTCGCTCTAACCGGAATCGTTACGCAGACATTTATTACATAACTGGTATTAGACTGATATTAGGTTCAAAATAAAATGAGGACGGAGCTTCGCATACAGAATTTTTGAGATCCAAAGCTACCTAATGGGTTATAGGTAAAACAATGATAAAAGATAAGGAACCATTGAATGATTTATTTTTCACGAACACCCTGTCCTGGGTTACCACCCGTCTCCTAATTTCCGGGAAAGTTCCAATTTCAATGATATTTACCCACGTCCTGTTTACTTATGCATTTTGTCCCGATTTTTGATATAACAAAAAACATTAATATTTATTCTTTGAAAATAGAGTGAAAAAGTACAAGGCTATGATTACGTTTCATACTAATTGCTAAGGTGATCAATTTTCTTAATTACAATCAATTAACATAAATAATATAACAAGGGTCTATTTTCCTTTTTCCGCAGTTTTTGGTGATAATAAACATAAATATTGGACTGAAGTCGGATTACTCCAAGGAGAGATTTTTCGACAATTTATGACGTAATTGAGATAAGACCTGACACTGCCTCAGATGTACAGATTATCTTCATGGATATTATTTAAACAAAATTATAAGGATTAGATTCGAAATATTCCAAATTTTTGTTCGTGGGCAAACAGAGGATTCCTCAGATTCCTTACGGTGGTAGGCAGATAATATTGGGCGTCACAAGGCTACATACTTTTATAATTTCTTCCGCTTCCTTGACATTTTTATTTAATTACATAAATTTCTTCATACTAGTACCGGTTACCAACATGAATCACAATTCTTATGTCTTTTAAACGCTGGAACCCTGAAATTTTGGACATCAAAGATGTCAATGTCAATGAGTAATAAGTTCTGCAACTTCGCCCGCTCTCAACCGCATAGCGTATGATGTAGCTTCCCGTTAGGTGAATTTTTTTTTAAATCTCATAGTTTCGGTACCTATTGAATGCAAACAATAAAATTTCTCCTCTTTATAATATTTTTTTTAGTTTAGTTTATAAAGTTGAATAGTGTATTACCGCTTTTATTTTCTTTACCTTCCATCAACCCTATATGTGAGTTGCATTTGTGGCATAGGCAGACAGACTATGTGTACGCCGTCACGTAGGCTTTTTTTATATAACATACCAGTATTACTCCTATGACATTACTTTGTGACGGTATAATTTGTATAGAACATATTTTCATTGACAAAAGAGATCAATCACATACACAGTTTACAAACACAGAAACAGAAAAAAAATAATGCAAATAAAAGTAACAAACAAAAATGTGCTACGGTGTTTGTTACCAAGCTGGCCTCAGCCCAGTATCCTGAGTCTACTGCACTGGTATTCTGCTGAAGCCAGCACTGATAACACGGAACTAGAGAACATAGATTATGATATTTAAATAATTTTACTGAACGCATTACAACAATTTACGTTCAGTAAAAATAAAACGTGATTTAGGCGTGCTAAAACCCGTGTGCACTAATCTCAAAGTAAGCTAGGGAAACTTATAAATGTATTCCTAGGGAAAGCGGAAAAATGGACACTGGCCCATTTTAAGTGAGCCTTAATTAAACCAAAATTTTTGCTTAAACGCGCATACAATAATAAAAATAGTTATAAAGTAAATCTAACCTATCATTCTGATACATACATTCACATAACATACCAAAATTCTATTTATTTTAAAGAAAACTTACAGCTGTGTTCTAAGACCTTTCAGAAGAAATAACGGTCCGTATCCGTTCACGCGCTAAATTCACGGGATCTTTTTTTCTATTTTAGACCTATATAGATACTATGTTATTTCACTAAGTTATTTATCTAATGCTCTTTCGTTTGATATTTTGTTTAGGAAAATAACACCGGTTTTATAAAAATAAAACTCGATTTAACCAATTAAAATTCAATAAATGGACAGATAGTCTCACGAATTCGCGCTAAAACTTTTATAAAATTGAATCTATAAATTGATCTATGGTTTACAAGACAAAAACTGTAATTTACTTCTGAAACAAGAACTACAACTTTTTGGAACCATCTGCATTCCGCATCAAATTAAAAGTCCGGAAAAAGTAATTAATTTTTTTGTTCCGTATATTCTACTATTGAATAACATTTAGAATTCTTCATCTGCTGTAATGACGTTACCAGGTTGATCTTTCGCATACATTATTCCACATAGCATGGTCTACATCACACTGTTTACATGCGGTGACAATGAATTTTGATTTTGACAGACGCCGTAACAACAAATTTATATGGATTACCAAGTTTATCTTAATAAGAAATTATAGAACTTAATTGTTACAAAGATTGGGTTGGAGACGCAGTGTTTAGTGCGTTTAGCAACTTTCGCTGGGGCCGGTCAAAAGGATTGACCAAACGTGTATTATATCGGGCTCCTTCACGCTACCGAAGATTAGTTAGACTCACAAATACACACTGAGCCAACGTGATGAGCTTG